AGTAGTAGTAGTAGTAGTAATAATAATAATAATAATAATAATAATAATAATAATAATAATAATAATAATAATAATATAATAATTAATAATAATAATAATAATAATAATAATAATAATAATAATAATAATAATAATTAATAATAATAATAAATAATAATAATAGTAATAATAACAATAATAATAATAAATAAATGAATAAGTAAATAAATAAATAAATGAGTAAATAAATAATAAATAAATAACAAATAGTGAATAAAAAATAAATAAAAAATAATACAATAGAAGCCAAATAGTAAATAATAAACAAATAAATAAATCAATAAATAATAATAGTAGTAAATATAGTAATAATAATGGAGAATAGATATTAACCACTAATTCGAAGATCCACTTTCTCACAAAACATCAAACCTAAGTATAAACACGACAATTAGTAATACATATGTTAATGGTACGCTAACATGTAGTAGTTGTACTGGGAATTTGATGATTCGTCGTTATTTGCTGTTGTAACGTTGGTTGTGTACCGCTAGTACTTGATGCAAGTGATGAAGAATTCCCTGATGGCGTTGCAACCATTTGCCCAAAACCGTAAAACATTAACACCAATGCTTTCTGATGATATTACTTTGCCACAATTATTCCTTATGCGTCAAACAAATTCTCTGCAAACTTTAATTACATATTACTCCTTATACACTGCGTGCACGCATATTCTTTAGCATGTCAACCATTCGTTGAGTAATAAATACAGCACACCTATAATTATTAAGATCAGAGAATATTTCAGTGAGGACTTCCGGTTTATCCCATCTGAAAAATACAACTCTCCACGATCTCTCAGTTCTAATTAACATGTTCACTCTTGATTCTTTACACGGTTCCATCATTTATAACACTGCTTCTCGACTCTTCAGTTAATAGCTAAGGAAGTTGGGATTTCAGTGGACTATCACCACGCAGTGATATATCGATAAATAAAGCCTCACATACCTCAGTCTTATACCCAGAAACAATGCAAATGGAACACAGGGGTACTAGAAAACCAGACATCAACCGACCACATCATATCAAACACTCCAAACGCGGCCCGGGATTGGCCGCCAACAAAACGCGGCCTTAGTTTTCAATGGTTAGCAGAAGTGCATTGGAGCGAATTGGCTAGGACTTCGAGGTGGTTCAGTGCTTGCGAATATGTAAATGGTAGCGGTCACCGGGATATATTCGCGAGAGCTCTAATCATATTGGAGCCACCGAAAAGTTACAAGAAAGCAATGTGCAAACGAAGCCGTTCTACCGATAGCACCTTCCATCTTCGTGACTTAAAGCACTGACATCGGGTAGGGAGACAAAGATCATGGTGGTCATCATTGTAAGGCTTAACCTTCTCATCATTTTTAACCGTAATTCTACTCATTCTGCAACGTTTCGAATGAAAAGACTCAGATAGGGGCGAATTTATCAACACCGTCCAGTCGGACTACGCTGAACTATAAGGACATCATTGTCTGTTTCTATTGCGGAGTCGAACCTGCTGTCTACTGATGATAGTGCATGAGCATCTCATTACACCATCTCGCAATACCCCCTCCACCCTTCTTTATATCCTATTCCTGATTTCAGCTAATGCTAACAATGATTGAGAATGTTTGATTATCCTGGGTAGATATGCCTTGTGATTAGTACGGTATAATAGTACCACTCTAGCTGGCCAGGCCCGAACGGGAGAATCGGAAACTGATTGAACTCTGATGCTCTTTTCAAATAACATCTGAAACTTGCATTCACTCTATATTTCATTTTTCTATTTCAAAATTTTACACATGCTTCTCATGTTTTGATATACAAATTTGAAAATTTTCGCATTCCATCAAGAAAGGCATTTTGATGAAATTATTTACATTTTAAGGGAATGCGAGGAATGATCTCAAAAATCCTCGAATAATATCATACAAATTGAAATGAAATGAGGTTAAAATCAACTGTCCGAAAGTTGTTAACAAATTTTTGTATGTCATTATCGGTTGTTATGATTTATTGGATGTCCGGGCCTGAGTGAATTGAGGAGAGTCTTTTATTCTCCATTTACTCATTTTTACTGGTAAAAAGTTTTGAATTATTGAAATCATTAACATCAAACAGGCAGTCAACGTGAACACCAAACTTTGATGACCGTCTTCTTTTCAGATTTATATGACCGTGCCAAACTTTTGGTCTGGTCATCTGCCATCATGCATCGAATAATCGAGCAATTTTAATAGTGTCAGTCGCTTACTTGTTTTTATTATGAAGATGGTTGTCATAAAAAACAGCATTTTTCACTCCTTACGTGAAATGGCAGATTCCCAATAAAATAAATTAATGCTTGGAATTCTAGCAACTGAGAAGAATATTTACAGGTTTAATGAATAGAATTTTTCGAATTCAAATTCTATAATTTAACTATTATAATTTTACCGACATATCATTAGGGATTGCTCGATTGTGTATATTCCTGTTTTGGTTATAGCGATTATGCAGTTGCAGAGACGACAAAGTGATATCCTGGAAGAAGTTGATAATATCGATTGTCAGATCTTTTACGTAATTTTTTGGTCGAACAGTCACTGAATTAATTAATCCAACTGAAGAATTAAACCCAAATAGTTAAAATAGCAGGTATCTGCTACCTGTTTGTATTGAGGCTTCCTCACTGATAATCAGTGATAATCAAGAGTAACAGCAAAATATTACTGGCAAACAATCATGTAAACAAATATGTTCATAAAGAAAACAGGCAGGAAAAATAAACAAAGAAATAAAAAATGTCCAAATAAGAATGAATATAAATAAACAAAAAGCAACGACTACAAATAAATAAACAAATGAGGAAAGATGGCTTATTTACTTGATACTGTAGTATTCAATTATCTTAATTGCTATCCGAATGTGAGTTAACATTACCGACAAAGTATTATTTATAACCCGAAACTATTTAATGATTTTTCAGTAAGATTATATTTAGGAATTAATTATATCATTGGTACATACTACTGACAATGTAATTGCTCTTTGCATATTGCCAGTGTAATCTTTAGAGAGTGTTGATATTTGATGTCTTGAAGAAATATGACGATGAGGTGGACAAATATTGGCCAGTTTGTGACATCGAAAATAGTCAATAATGGCAGCAGTTCTCTCATAGCGCTACTGTACAGGAGTATATCCGTTTCAGTTATATTATGTGGTGATAAATTTCCCAATCTGTTCGATTTTTAGATTATAAAATTTGTTTTTAATAAATTTTAACAGGTTGAAGAATTGAGAAAGGAATAGATAATTGAAGTTTTTTGGCGAAATAAAAATATTACCAGCGATGTGATGTTTTTTTCATAACTTTAGGATGGGATTTACAAACAAATTCTTTTCTCCCCTTTTTATGATCTAATGATCAGTTATACTTTCTGATCAAAAACGATTTTAGTATTTACACTAACCCATGATCATTCATGATACTTAAGAGATGCCATAACTTTTGTTACTTGCAATAAAATATATCCTTAAAAGAACTTTCGAAAAGAAACTGAATCTGTCATCTGCTCATTACGACCGTCAACTTTAACTAGCCCATTTTTACACTGTATTAGTAATATTAACACGACATTTATTTGACTGACTGACTGACATTTGTGTATCAAACCGATCTTTGTTATTATTTATTCTGGGTTAAGTAAAATACATTATATTTTTTACGATATATTATATTTCAAACATATTTTTATGCATTATGAAACTTCTGCAAGTTATTATATTATTATATATTTGTTTTTAATAATCAGCAGTTAATGAGTGAAATCAGTTATGTAGAGGAATAATTACAGTCATTCTAATCAGTGTGGATAATTTGGTATCATTTATCACCATTGATCGTCAAGTTCTCTTTTTCAAGCCGATTATTTGATTTGCGAAAACCCGTTGATTTTGGCAAATGAGCGATTTAATGGGATGATATGAAATTTCGTCAAGACAAAAAAGAACATTGTCAGAGGTTGCATGTGATGGATAGGGATATTTCTTTGTATATCAGTGAGTATTTACAATTTAAAACAATGACATTTTGAAGCGGTGTTTCCCGCATTTTAAAACTTTAACATAAAATGTAAAACATTTTGCGATTTTCAGTATTGATAAAGAATTATTAAGAATGTAGGGGCGATCATCTTTGATCCTACCTTTGACTCTCGGATATGCTGGATCCATTGACTGAATCATCGATATCATCCGGAGAGTTTCTTATCTATTTGTTGTTATTTGGTTTCAGCAGCTGGGATGAGATTTCCAAGATCTTGAATAATGCTGCTATATTAGGTGGGGCGTGGTTAATAATCAGGTAAACAACAATAGGATTCGATATTCTTCGAAACAAATAGAACAGATTCAGGATAATCATCATCCCGATCAGGAGACGGCCATCGACATCCAATAACACAGTTGCAGTTGTAACATACATCAGTAGTCCTACACCACAACATCATTTCCACTTCGCTGGTAAAAAAAATCGTCACCTCATCAGGGACGAGCTGCTGGGATATCACTTCTTTCTTCTTCTTCTTCTTTTTTTCATCTTCGGCATTTGGAACAGAATCAATTTGATTTATTTCCTTTCGGATTATGATAGCAATTAAACTTTAAGTAAACATTATTCAATCCGTTTCATTGTTAAATCAAACAAATCGTAATTTTCAGCCCTTTTTACACGATCTTTCTGATCGGAGTCTAAAATTTATCTATTCTTTTTCTGCTCCTGTATATTTGCTCTCTGTGCAATTTTTGATTTTCAAAGTTTGGTATAGCAGCAACTCTGCTCTACAAACTCGACTCGATCCCTTATCAGTTATTGCAATTTGCAAGTTAACTACCCCAAAATCCACCAATCATTTGTTTTAACAGATTTTATAAAAATATTCAACTCAATGATGCGAGAGCTGTTAATTTTGATATTCATTGTGGCACTGATAACTCGATGTATCTTCAGCCGAAGTAAGTTCCTTAATTTTTTCACCTTACCCATTACTTCAGTGATCGCTACTTAAGATATTCACTTCAATAGCAGTTGGTACTGGAATAAAGCTCAGTCACTTAGCTAATGTCAAGTTTTTGTTAAAATTCTTCTCTCATTTGTTAATTAACAATGCGAATCATCGGAAAAATTTATCTTTTTGTCAAGAAATAGTTTTACCGTTTATAATTGATAGGGATTAGCAAGAGACCTACTATCTGTCTACTAAATTCAACTTTGAACTCTCGAACAAAGAAGTAAGATAGTGCTGCAGAAGTTGAAATTTGAAGATGAAAAAGGTTTAGATTAATGAATTGAGAATGGGAAAAATAAAAGATAAAGTGTAATAACTTTTAATTTCCGCAACTAAATCTGTGCTTTTTTTTTCTTTTTTTTAATTTTGTGTATGTCTCAAACATTACTAAACTGCAGGAAAACATGAAGCTTGCTGATAAGTTTCTACGAATGAAATCATTTAAATTTTCCAGCCTGAAGTTTTTCAAATTTCTTTACAATTGTTTCAAATCATCCCGAGGATGATCAAATGACGGCAAAGAACCAGGATGATATAACTGTGTAACAAGTTATCAAATATGAGTTATTGTTTAACGTTGTGTAATGTTCGTCCTATTTTTTAAATTTTTTTTTTCCTGTATTAATGTAATATGCATTGGAGGGTGGCAGTATCGTCTGCGTTGCAATGTTTCTTAACATCTCTTTTTTTTATCTTCATTTTCTCCAGTTTTGCAATTACTTTATTCCAATTTGTTATGGCACAAATGCTTCATTTCCTTTTGCTTTAAAAATTAATTATAAATTTCTTTTGAAATCATTCCTCAATTTAGGAGCATATTTTTAAAGAAATCCTGACTTTTTATTTAAAAAATTCACTATTTGCTACTTGAACAAAACATTTTTTTCAATGCTTTTGAAGAATTTTTTTTTAAACTTTCCAACAAAGGAAATGAGTGATATTCCTTCAACGGTCGAATTACTGGTGTATGTATAACATATACATTGAAATAGTTGGGGTGATAAATGCGGAACATTATCAGTGCGGGATACCACTGCCAAATCATTAAATCTCCATAAAGGTGGGAATTTATAGCAAAATAATAAGTACCTGGTAAATATTTGAACCAAAGTATTCAGATGCTAAAGCCAAAGAGATAGGTCAAAACTAAACTTCTCTCATTTCATTTTACGTATGGTTCGTCTAGTCCATACTTAGTAAATGCAATGAAGGCAAATAATTTTTGGATGATAAGACTATCACAATCAGTAAATCGCTAATCATTTCATAATATTTTGGTAGTTGTCTGGAAGTTTAAACATGCTCGATAATGACTGTGTTAGGTTATTACGTTTATAAATGGGTGAAAAATCTCAGCCTCCGGCTTTAAAATTCAATTTAAGATACGATTTAAGATAACTTATTTCACGATTTAAGATACCTTGTTGATTCTATTTTGTCTACCTAATGTAACCTTTTTGTTAAGCTAGCTTGACATACTTCTTTATTTCAGCAAAAAATACTGTGACATAATATTTGCGGAAATATTGTCACACCAATCTCTTAAATTGGAACTGAGAAATATTCTAAAAATTAAGATTAATGAAAAGGAATTAAATCATTTTCATAATAACGGGAAACTATACAGATATAATGGCATTAGAATAGTAAAAGATGAAGGAATGATTATGACAACTTAATGATAATATGAACATCAGTTAAGCCCAATAATTCATCTGACCGCAGGCCAGAAGATAACCAGTAAAAACAATTTTTATAAATGAAGTTAGAATGATTAGAAATTACCTATCTTCTGTGTCTTGCTATCGGTATTATTGATCGGCTGATATATATTAGGTAACCAGGATCTTTTTGTTGTGTTTACTTGGCATAACAATTAACTGATTGTTTGAAAAAATGTGGTATACAATAGCTTCTTCATTTATAGCAATCAACATCTCAGCACAGTGTAACCTAGAATCAGATCACACCAAACTTGGACGATGCTTACGACCATGGCTCGATCTATGGGAAATGATACGAGTGCAAGAAGCTCATGCTTCAAATCTTGTGTATCCGGTATTGTTTGAATGAATTTCGAATAAATAAAATAAAAGATCAAACTGAATTTACTTAACGAAGTGCACCTGATTTAAATTGAGCTGAAATTGATTAAACGGGTTACGGTAGAATTAAACTACTAATTGTATTCTATCGTTCAATTTCTTAATATTCGCAAACTTTGAAATTTTCGATGTTGGAAACCTAAAATAGAAGATCGGAACCATCGTTTGCAATATAGTTAGAATCCATCGAAATTTTTTCCATCAAATTATCATTATGAATTTAATTATTCAAATGTTTCATCTTATTTTTATATTTCTAAACGATTAAAATTCATCTCATTGCTCTTCAGTGAAAAAATGAAATGCGCAAGAAAAACACAACAACAAACTGATCGAAAAATTTTCCAAAATTTTAAACCAACTGTTTAGGAGAAGAATACTAACCACTTCCAAAATTTGCAGATATAAATTGTTTAGATCAAATTTAAATGTGCATTAACTTTAAGTTCAACAAAGGTTATCACTCAAAGCTGTTTAGTTAAGATAAGGCAACTGAATGACATTCGCTTCCTTTTGCTTTACGATTGTTTAACTTAATTTGCTTCAATCCAACCACTTTAACTCGTTTTGGCTTCTTTTATTTAAAAAATTTGAAATCTATACATGAAATATGAACGTGCTGCAATCAGTATAGGTAATTTAGCAATTTGATTTGAAAATTTCGATTGATAATGCTATTTTTCAACATTTTATTTCTTTTGGAAAGAAGTTGCAACAAATTTTCTGGAGATTTATTCGATTTTTATGATAATTTGTTGCAGTGTACTTTAAACTATCGCATTTTAGGTACCATTCTATTCCCGAGAATCCGTGTTGTTTCTCTGCAGCGCTTATCTTGACAGCCGTTCAACATGTATGACATCTGAAGTACTTGAAAAATGCAAACATAATGAAATGATAATTTTCATACAACGACATATGCGCTATTATTGTGGAAATAAAGCCAAACTTGCATTCGGGAAGTTTGACTGTCTCCACAGGTATTTTTTTTACTTTCAAACCAAATTTTGTCCCCAAACAATTCAAAGCTATAATGAAACTAAATGTTCCGAGAGAAGAATAATTAATGAATGACTTCGGAAAAAGAAAATTTTTCATTATTCTTTTTTCGTTTATTAAATTTCGCAGCGATAAGAGGTCGTTTATTGATATCATATCATATCACACTGCTGTTAGAGTAGATGCAAAGTGCCGACTGCTTAATTAACAAAAATACTTTTTCAAAACTTAAAATATATTCACAAAAAAATTATTTTTTCCATTGGACTTCAGTTCATCTACTAAATTCAAGTACTATTCTACTTTAGTACACAGTATACTATTCTACTTTAGTACATAGTTGCGATATGTGAAATCAGCTGATTTAAAGTGGACTAAAGACACATTTTTGGATAGTACATTCAATTTTAGTGCGCTCATGTCCGATCAGCACTGCTGGCGACACATTCAGGACATTTCATCGTCTACCTATAGAGGAGGTAAATGTATTGGTATACCCATGTTTTTCAATTGTATATCACCTGCCGTACGATCGGAATGCCAAAATTCCGGTGTTCATATCCTTGTTGACGCAATTACTTCATTTGGATGTGCTCTTCAAAAGGGTCAGTTACTTTTTCGCTTTTCTTTTTCGCAAAATTTCTCAAATTTCATTTATTTTTTCATTTTTTTCTTTGCATTTCAAATCGCTACTAATTATGCAAATTGTTGTCAAAATAGACGACAAATAGTATTTACAGAATTAGTACAACAATCGGCGAAATATGTTACAAAAATGAATAACACCGGTGAATTTACTGAAGAAGCTAGCAAAAGTATGCTTTATCATTTAATTGATAAAAAGGAAGGAAAATTGATGAAAAAAAATTTTAATTAAGAAAATTTCTGAGAAAAAATTTGAGAATTACTTCTAGTGGAATTAGCAAACTTTAACAAAACTTTCTTTGAGTATTTCCTCGTTTTGAATGTCAACCAGCAACTTTTTTTTTCAAATGAAAAAAGAATATTTGAATTAAATAATTTGATAAGAAAAAAGGATGTTATCATTTGTTTCATAAATGTTGTATCGGTTTATTTTGTTTTAATTTGATTTGGAAAAAGAATTAAAAACAAAAAAGTGAAAGAAAAAATTTACATTTTAATAAATTTCAAATTTTTTCTAAGCTTCTTGTGCAGATATTTCATTCATGAATGCATGCTTGCACTAATGAAGACTTAGGTAAAGTTTAGTAATGTTTTACTATCTTCCTTTTTGAAAAATATTGACAAAAATTGTTTTTTAAATTGTACAATTATATGAATTGGGAGTAATATCAGTTGAATAATATTGAACTAACAGCGAGAGTATATCGGATAACATTTGGACGATTTTAATGGAATAAATTAATTATTTTATAACAAATTATGATAAATTACAGCTTAGATTTTCGGATGTTTGAACTGCGAATTTATTGAAAACATTTCACGAGGGATTCTATAAATAATTTTAAGTTATGAGATTCAAAAATTCACAAAATTGGAACAAATTCATATAAACTGTGTGATAGAGAAAGATAAGTTTGACATAACACCTGTCACATAATTAGTACCACTTAATTTTCAGCATATATACGAAATGAGTTACCAGCTGCGCTTCCAGTGCTTGATGAAGAAAGAAATGGTCAGTAATACAAAAATATATGCCTTGTTTTGCAAAAAATTCTGGAAGATAACTGGGAAAATTTTTGACCAGAAAATATATCCCACGCAGCATGAATCTTTTTCACCGGATTGTACTGAACATAAAAAATCGTTAACTTCTTTGAAAATATGAATTTTGATCTTTAATCTTACGGAAGCATTATTGAACTTTCGTTCTATATTTCAAATTTCTGATCTGTAGCAAGCATGAGGTGAGAAAAAGGAAAGATACATGCATAATTTATCGCCAGAAATTGGACGAATTTGGTGCACCTAACAGCAATTTTAGATAGATGAAGGTTTAGCCAAAATTTTGAATATGACAAAATTTCATCAGAATGCGATCATTGAAGATAAATATGGCTTAAGACATTGTGTTCCGGTTTAAATGAAATTCGGCGACAAACATTGTTAGATTTTGCAAATTTTATGTGATTTAAAACAATTTATTTCTACTTGAATTCTATTCGATTTTAAAGCAAGGCCTTCAACTCAAAGGTATATGACAGTGCGGAATAATTTTGACAACTTCTACACTTCCGCTTCATTCACAACAATTGGAGTACAAAATGAGAGCAAAGCATTTGAACGATCTCATCAGACAAATTCAACTAATGACTTATTCAGCCCGTCTCTCAGCAAGAAGAAACAAATTTCTAATTATCGCCGTTCGCCTGCTCAAAAAATTGATCTTAATTTGGATTACGGTAAGATATTCGACATCGATCCGATCAATGAAGCAGCATATTTGACTAATTCAGAATAAATCAGCATATATTTTATATGATGCGAAATTCTGCGTACGGTATGAAAAAACAATCACACCTGTTTAGGCTGTTACAGCAGTATTGTGACAGCGTAATATGTTGAAATTTGGTTTACCAGGGAAGTTTACGTCTGAATTAATGTGCTATACAAGAGATGAAAACTTTTGACACAGTTATTGTTACTGTTACAGGTAACAAATAAATCAAGAAATATGCATATTGATTATAGAGAAGGATTATTTAAAAGTTTTCAGTTCAAGTATGTTTATTTAGGACAGAAATCTCAAAGTTTTTATGCAAGATTAAAGTAATTTATTTAGTCGTAATTACAACAAAAACTTAATAGTTACATGGGAAATATTTGCTTCTTTGTGTACGATTTTGAGCTTAAGCTCTTCCAATTCCAGCCCAATGTTTAGTTATAAAATTTTAAATTCAAATTAAATTTTACTGTTCAATTCTGGTTGTTTTTTAAATATTAAATTTTCTAGTGGAAGAAAATACCTATCTGGAATCAGATCCAACAGTTGAAATAGCATTCGACGATGATGAAAATGTCGTGGGTATTCCCAAAAGTTGGTGATTGTTTTTTGATGATAAATATGAAAAAGGTGAAAAATTTGATAAATCGAATGAAAATTATTACAACAAGAAAGAAGCTAACTATTCGCTGTGAAGTTGGAACAATCCATCAATCCATGTTCGAACAGTTGAAAATTTAAATGATATTTTCGAGAACTGAAGTTTTATCATTTGCATTAATTGTTATTGCATTGTTATACTCTCTATTATCCATTTCATTAATTATTCCTTAATATGAATTGGTATAAACAAACTTAAGTTGCAGCTAAGTCACTCAGTTGTACAGCGAAACAGGAGGAACAAATCGCTCGGTGTTATGCACCCATGATCAAGTTTGTTCAAGAAATTCTACCCAGGATTGAAATTTCATTTTAAATATATTTAAAATAATTTGAGAAACCTGTCAGAAAAAGTATTCTGACTAACTGTTAACGTGGTTAGCAAATCTAATATTGGGTCAATTTCAGATTATGGAACATGATACAGAACCGGCATCGATCCTTTGATAATATTTTGTTACCGTTTTTGAACTATCATCCAAAAGAATTGAGTGACTTGTGTGATCTTCTGGATGTCATCTTCGATAGTTGCATTACAACTAGTCTTGTCAATAATTGCCAGGACAATACCGTACATTATCATATCCCAATCCATTTTCAAATTTTTCTATAGTCAAGGAACAAAGCGTCAAAAAATTCTTTAAACAAATACTTTAGAAAACATTATCAAATTTGAAGTTTACGCATAAGATGACTAGGCTATGAATATGATACGAAAACTTGGCTTTACGAACATGAGGATAACTGGGCTGAAATGTGTTCTTCACTTAGATTTTACAGCGAAATGAAATGTCAAAGTAGAATGGCGACACATTTTGATCATTTTTCATTTCAAAAATAGGCCATCTAAATTCAAAACGCCAAAAACTTATTTCCCCGCACATATTGCAATGAATTCAAAAAAGTTCATTATAAACAGTTATTTTAAAGTTCATAAATGAGGAATTTCTTGTTGTTTGTGCGAAAATTACTGATATAATCAAAAAAGAAAAGATTCGGAAAGTCTCAGTACATACTCCAAAATAAACGTATTTCCTTTGAAACTACTTATTTTTTGTTGAGAAAAGATAATTCTTTTTTTAATTTCTAAGATTATCGTTATCTCTGGTTTTGGAAGATGTTTAGAAGTTGTAAAATTTACTTCAATGCCACCAAATAAATGTCGAATTATAATTCAATCTAAAGTTAAGCTGATGGAATTCGTGGATGAGCATTTTGGAGTGATCTGCTCGAAAACGGGAAATGGCAATCTACTCGAACCATTTGCATGTCTTAGGAAAGTAATAATCGAAGAAAAGGTGCTAATTTATAATTGCCAGTTTAAAGTTACAATGATTTTGAAGTAAATTTGATGTTTGAAATTGCTGACTTACAGATTTAGCAATTTTTATACCATTAATTATTACAAAATAACACAGATTATGAAATCTGAAAATGATCGTGAAAATATACTTTTTTTATCCCAAAAGTTTGCTTAAATTATTATTTTATAGTTCTATAAGATTGGAATAAAAATGATTTGATTGTTAAAAAGGATTATGCAGAATTAACAACTTATTGATTAGCATTAAAAAATTGAAAGATATTGTAAGAATTATTGAAAATAGTTTTAATCTTGTCTTTCTTTTATGCACTTTAATTTGTCTTTAGGAAGTAAATATCCTTAGGAGAGACAAAAACATTTCCAAAAAATTGAAATCACATTCAATCTGTTTTACCCTCCAATCCATTTCCCATTCATTTGTTTGGCTTAGTAAGCTATCTAGCTAGTAAGCTATCCCATATTATGATTAATG